CCTTGAAGGCAGTGATAGACAAACACAAGCTGTGCTTCTTTGGCAGACTGGTTAACCTCCCAAGCAGCACATTAGCCAAGAGAGTCTTTCTTCTGAGACTGTATTCATACATCATCAGAAGAGCACGCCATGTCAACAGAGGGTTCATCAGTGACGTGTACAGAGTTGCACAGGAATACGGCCTGACAGAGTATTTCGAAAAATACTGGCTTACAACAGAGTTCCCATCCAACACTGTGTGGAAAAGAGTGGTGAAAATGGCGGTGAGGGACAAAGAGGAGAGGAACTGGATTGCGTCAATGGCAAGACCAGATTCACCAGAATACATGGAACAAATACCGAACCTCACAAACTGTGGTCATTGGCAAGGAAACTACCCAACCACCAGAAAACCCTACAGGCGTTGGTGCACCTGAGTACAGTTCCTGCGTGCCAAAGTGCTAAACCTTGCCCAGCTTGTGACACACTGACACAAGACATAGTGGGGCATATGATATCTCACTGCGTCAAGTTCAACACACTCAGGGCAACTCTAGCAGACGTGCTAACAGATAAACTGGGCACTGGAGTGATGGCAGCTGTACATCAACAGTCGGATGAAAGATTTACAGAAGTCCTTCTTGGAGCTAGAGTTGTGGAGGAGGATGTTGAACTCGGGGTATGGGAAGAGTATATTGTAACAATTGCCAGACTTATGTACCCTTTGGCCATCCTGGCTCTGAAACATGTAGAATGGCACTGAAGATGGAGTGGACAGTGTGTTTACAAGAGATGCAGAGACAGAAGGAGACAGAAGACAGAAGTGATGCAGAGTGGAACACCTGTGAAGGAGTGAAACATTTATGGAGGAGTGTACAGTGTGTTTACAAGAGATGCAGAGACAGAAGGAGACAGAAGACAGAAGTGATGCAGAGTGAAACACCTGTGGAGGAGTGTACAGTGTGTTTACAAGAGATACAGAGACAGAAGGAGACAGAAGACAGAAGTGATGCAGAGTGGAACACCTGTGGAGGAGTGTACAGTGTGTTTACAAGAGATACAGAGACAAAAGACAGAAGTGATGCAGAGTGGAACACCTGTGAAGGAGTGAAACATTTATGGAGGAGTGTACAGTGTGTTTACAAGAGATGCAGAGACAGAAGGAGACTGAAGACAGAAGTAATGCAGAGTGAAACACCTGTGGAAGAGTGGACAGTGTGTTTACAAGAGATACAGAGACAGAAGGAGACAGAAGTGATGCAGAGTGAAACACCTGTGGAGGAGTGTACAGTGTGTTTACAAGAGATGCAGAGACAGAAGGAGACAGAAGACAGAAGTGATGCAGAGTGAAACACCTGTGAAGGAGTGTACAGTGTGTTTACAAGAGATACAGAGACAGAAGGAGACAAAAGACAGAAGTGATGCAGAGTGGAACACCTGTGAAGGAGTGAAACATTTATGGAGGAGTGTACAGTGTGTTTACAAGAGATGCAGAGACAGAAGGAGACAGAAGACAGAAGCGATGCAGAGTGAAACACCTGTGGAAGAGTGGACAGGGTGTTTACAAGAGGTGCAGAGACAGAAGGAGACAGAAGACAGAAGTGATGCGGAGTGAAACACCTGTGGAGGAGTGTACAGTGTGTTTACAAGAGGTGCAGAGATAGAAGGAGACAGAAGACAGAAGTGATGCAGAGTGAAACACCTGTGGAGGAGTGTACAGTGTGTTTACAAGAGATGCAGAGACAGAAGGAGACAGAAGATAGAAGTGTTACAGAGTGAAGCACCTGTGAAAGAGTGGGCAGGGTGTTTACAAGAGATAAAGAGACAGAAAGAGACAGAGAGAGAAGTGCTACAGAGTGAAACACCTGTGGAGGAGTGGACAGTATGTGTTTACATTTAGGACTTAGAGAAAGAAAGCGGTCGAGTGTTAAACACTCAGGAATAGTAAAGAACTGTAATGCCTAAGAAAGACGAAATAGAAATGGACAGATCGCCATAGAATAGACGATATCCATTATTTATATTTAATCATGTGTCTGTGTGAAAAAACAAACTATTTTTTACAGTTTTAAAAAACTGTAATATCTTTTAAGTGTGTATCCCTGTATTTTAACGACCATGGCTCTCCCAACGTGGAGGAATAAAGGAAAGGAAAGGAAAGGAATGAATGAATGAATGAATGAATGAATGAATGAATGAATGAATGAATGAATGAATGAATGAATGAATGAATGAATGAATGAATGAATGAAGAAAGAAAGAAAGGAAGGAAGGAAGGAAGGAACAGTTTATTTGTACTGCCATAATACAATTCCATTTTATATTCCTTGTCAAGGTATCAAATATTTAAAGGTATTCAATGACATCTACCTGCCATCCATTCCTGCACCTGCAGATGTTTGGTCCCACACATGTGCCGTATTCACCACAGTCGTTTCTCTCCCTACAGTTATATTGGGAACAGTCGTCTTTCCCCCAGCCTCTCTGACAAACGCACGTCTGTCCCTCACAGCTTCCGTGGTGGGAACAGGAGTTTGGACAAGCTTCGACTGTAACCACAGCTAAGAGGGAACAGGGATCAGGAATGAGAGACTCAAAACAAAAATTAATTCAAAAGAGCCACACCGACTTAATTTTACTGATGACATCCTATGAAGACCCCTAAACCAGTGCGCGTGGAAAGATTTTAAAAAATCTGGCCAAAAATTAAAATACTACTAAACCACAGGAATGCACAGCTGGTAATGTGAATTTACGGTGGTATATATCGACGTAAACGACAAGCCGTCACATGCTGGCTTTTTGAGGAATTTATGAGTCGACACTGTACGTATATGTACTACGTTCTTGAGTCGTAGAGCTTCGGTAGCCTGGGTGCCATCCTCCAAAGTTACCACCGGTTCCATTTTGTCGCTAACTACCAAGTCCTAGAGCCAGTCCAGGGCTTCGGAGGACATGAACAGGTGAAAATCATTGCGCTCGCGGATATCATCCATAAAATTAAGTCGGTGTGGCCTTAGTTGCTGGTAAGTGCTTTAGAAAATATGGCCTCCAGTAGAACATAGATCTAAATAGTTACTCCTAGGGATGTCAAATGACTGTCTACTTACCCAGAGGTCTCTTGCAGAAGAAAGGATAGTGAGACGCGCATGCCACAGTCTGCAGAGCTCCGCTGAGTGTTGGATGGTACGTTTTGCAGTTGTCCTGATGAACAAGAACGGGAAAAGCATAATACATACATATCTTTCTATTAACATGTATCTATTCATCTTTCTATCAATCTGACTATCTATTACTATTAGTAACTATCTCTGTACCTCTCTCTCCCTCTCTTCTCTGTCTCTCTCTCTCCATAC